AGTTTCAAGTGTAGTATGGTTTTACTGGCCGAAAATAAGAACGCCTTATTTGTCTTCTTCGTAATTAGGAAATTTTAGGGAATGCAGAATTGGGTACACCCCTGATGAGTTTGATCCCAAAGGAATGAAACGGTCATCCGGTGTTTATAACACTTCGATTTGGCCAGCAGACACTACTGGCTGATGTCAGTGGCATACAGCTACTACTCGTCTCAATCAATTAGTAGTATATGTTTTTCTGCAAATATGCTTGCTTTCTTGTTTGCTATCTATGGTATCAAACATTAAAATTTGTGGTATGAATAATTTCGGTCTCCAAAGGAAACTGCTTCGAAATCTCACCTCGAAATGAGTAAAACTGAATATCTGATTTTCAAGTATTGCAGAAAACCAATCAAACCCCTACAAACCAACACCTGAATATCGATGAGATGCCCACTGGCAACTTGCCCTATTCAGGTAGGTGGTTACCCGGAGTTCTAGTGGGAAGTCGTGACCAGTAGGGTGCAGCAAGTAGGGTGTGAGGACAAATACTCGCCGAAGACATTGGCTAGTGGTCGCGCTATGTCCTGAATTGGCATAAGTTAGAATTCATGGGCCATTGGATCAGGTCACAGTGGCTCAATGGTCTACGAGCTCGCCTTGTAACCAGAAGATCGCAAGTTCGAACCACTGTGGCGGATGTGTACTGATGAAGAGTCCCAAACTAGGATGAAACAGCTGTCTAGTACTCTCAGTTTTCCCAGTGGTTCTCTAACTGCTAATCTGATTATTGCGCAGATTCACCTTATATTTTCGGTGTAGTGTAATAATACACTAACGCCCTTAAACTGTAATTACTGAAAGTTTGCTCTAAGCTTGGTCATTAGTTTCCATAGCTTAAACATAAGGAACACTAGGGTTCTGAACAAAACATTGAGTGAACTCTATTGTATGAAAGGAATTCACCTTTGAGTACTGTTTTTATACCTTCACTTATACTTTTTGAGACTCACATTATGACAAACTGTTGCTTATCAAAGGCTGTTCACATCAGCTTGACTAATTGAAGCATAGTCTTCTGTCAGCATTGTATATCCTGAAATGTGTTATTGATCTTTTATCCCTTCTAATTCAGATAAATCTATCATTCACGAGTAGTATTTTAGTAGTCAAAATAAGTGCATTGTGTCTCAGAAAATGAAAGGTTTGGAAACAGATGAACTAGATAGGCATTCGCCTGTTATGAAAATAATTGGGTACATGAGGCAGAAGCATTCTTTAGTAAAGTGGCTGGTATTGGTACATCATTCAGTAATTGTTATCATATGTTATATTGTTTATACAAAGGATTTTTTTAACACTTGGTGATATTCTCTAGCCGCCCACTGGCTCTAAGCAATGTGAGGGACAAACCTCTGCATTTGACAATTGTAATGTAAAGACAGCAGTTCATCTGCCGCTGTGCAGATAGATGCATAGGTCATTCTATGCGCGTCGTTTCTAAATGTATTACAGGGGAATACCCAGCACAGCTGCAAAGAGGTGCCACTTGTTCAGTCAGAAGCGCCATAAGTGAACATCTCTTCAGCACCTGCCACAGCACCTCAAATGACTCATCATTCAGAAAAGCTTACAGAGTGAACAAAAATCTATCAAATGCAGTGTGTTTCTTATATCTGTGTACTGCAGAAACCCTCGGCAAATGCATCGAGAAGCTAAAGCTATATGTTCAAATGAAGCTAGTTCAACCTCTACATTTACCGTAGATCTAGTTCAGTTTGGTTCCTTAGTTTCTGGAGCTAGACCATGGATTGGTATCAGCTATAGAACCGTTGAAAACCAGCATTGAAGTACTGCACAGCTGTTACGTTCTAGTCTGGGACTCACCGGCATTACACAGTCGCTGGGTTTCGAACTCAGGGCCTTTCGGTTACAAGGCAAGCTCGTATATCATTCAGCCACTGGGACCCGATTCAATGGCCCATGAATTCTAACTTCTACCAATTCGTGATTTTAGCATGACTACCAACCACTGTCATCAGCGGGAACTCCATTCTTATTGTTACTCTATCAAATTAAGTAATTAATCAATTACAAACCAAACTATAGAAAATTAAGTAGTAGTTGTAACTATGTATAACTGTACAGCTTTTTAGGTTGAAATCGACCAAAAATATCTCTTCTGAGCTTTTTATTCTTTTCTGTCTAATGCTTAATTATTAGGTATAATGGACTAGCTAACTGTAATTATAATTTAAACTAAAGGCTTCTGGTGAAGCAGTGACAATATATAACCATTACCAAACGAACAGATAACAATGAATTTCCCAAAGTTTAGGGTTGTACATGTTTTTTTTAAGAAGATAAGTAGATGATTATGTTTACAAAGATAGACCAATGACTTCTTAGATTTGCATTATTGTTACGATCTCTCTAGAACTAGCTAACAGATCCCAAACTCAATGCTTTATAGTGCTATAAGTGATACAAACCAAGGGTAATAAAAAAACTGTACACACAAAAGGTTTCGGTGTCTTTTAGAACTAAACAATTCGTGTGACTGTCAGCTAAAATAGCTTTATGTAAAAGTGCAATTACATCAACTGGATGAAGTCCTGATGTGCACTAAAGGCTGAAGTACAGTCAGTAAACCAAAAGCTAAAGTACGAAGGGACCTGCGTAGACCATCGTCACTGAGTGCTGATGGCATTCATATTTCTCTGCCAGACACCTATAAAATATTAATTTACAGCAAAAGTCAATCAACGGTTAAGTAAATAACTGACAAAATAGTGTTTTACTTTATTCATAAGTTTAGTGCTTAGGAAGTTTCTCCTAACTCTGAAACTGAAAACTTTTATAGACAACCAAAATCATATTCCATATATCAAATGGATTCACTTTATCCTGCTCCGTATGTTTTTACTGCATCGTCTCACATAAGTGCTAACCTAGTTCTATAAGTTATAATGTATTCGTCATAATCATTTGGGGTTTTCTACGTACGCGTAATTGAGCCCCCAATTCAGAAAGTATGCGCCTACAATACAAGGATTTTCATTAACTTTAAAATTAGATAACAGACAGGGTTTGTGATTATTTGATTTCTGAATACAGGTAAAATGGTAAGATTTACTTAGTTGTTGATATTCATGAAAAACTTTCAGATAATTGACTATCCGAATTACTGCAGTTATTATTGGATTTTTTGTAAGTGGTGTTACCTGAAATTTCACTATGAGAGGGAGAAATTTGAAGGAAGTTACCTCTTTAACTCAACCAGGATAGCATTTTTTCAACTGCAGGTGGTGTAGATGAAGAAGTCAACGACTGAGTGGGTTCGAAAGGAAAGATAGACCTTCAGTAATCTGAAATCAGTGTGAAAATGTACTGCGCTCAAAATAAAGAACAAGATTGAGGTTTTTAACACTAATGTCGAGTTAATCAGTGCTTCTCTACGGTTCAGATACTTGTCTCGAGTATCACAAGAAACATTTCCAACGGGTAACTGCGGCCTTTCATCACCAGCAGCATTCTCTGGCCCCATACTGAAGATAAGATTGCCAACAAGAAAGGATTAGTAAGAAGTGACTTGGGCAACAAACCCACCAAGGTACTATTGCTAAACGAATTTACGGAAGAAAATTGAGACGGACTGGGCACATGCCGAAAAGACTGTTAAGTGATGTCTGCCACCACGCCTTCTGGTTGAACTCGAATGCAAAATTAAGTGTTGGGTGCCTGAGTGTGACATGAAGGAAATCATATGAGAGGGCGACAGTATCTTATGCGAAATCATGTATTGAAGAGGACAAAGTGGAGATGTTCTCTTGAAGCCTTATGTTCCACTCGGAGTCCAAGGGAATAATAATAATGGTACCCAAAAGATACTTTAAAAATGTTTAGCATGCTCGAATCAGTCACTTAATTTCATCTAAACATGTAAACTTCCGAAAAAGAAGCCTGGTACGAAAATCATGTTCAAGGATTAGAAAAATCTGCTAGGAAGACATGGTAGAGAAAGAATTAAATTTATTACGTGAAACCCTACTAGAGAAAGGGTATCCACCAAGATTCATCGACAAGAACATGAAGGAGAAGCCTTTGCTGTCAGACATTGCAATGGTTCCTAAGAAAACTCTTCATGAACTTAGAATTCAAAGGTGACATCGCAGCGGAAATTCTCAGAAACCGCTTTTCTAAATGTCTGGAGAAAACATTTCCAACAGCCACCATACGTATCACATTCTCCTGCAGACAGTTAATCCAGTCTAACGCTAAGGTTAAGAGACCGCTTTTGGCCACTTCAATGTGTATTTATCAATTTGCTTGCTTTTGTGGAGCAAAGTATATCAGCCTTACGCAACATCAAGTCCACAAACGTATTCTGGAACACTGTACAGCTTGGTTAGGCAGATGAGAAAAGAGGAATAGCAGCAGCTCTATCCTCGAAAACTTCTTTTTATTTGCAGGTAATATACATCATTAGTGCTGGAACTTCATTGATATCCAGTTTGCTAATAGAAAATACAGTGTTGGAAGTGAACATAACACAGTGGATTTCAACGCTGCGTGTACTACACACTATTTATGAAAGTTGTCAGTCACATTTCACGTGTTCCATTTGTAAAAATATTTCCTTGCTTCTGAATAACTAACTGTTTATTCAGTGAATAATTTAGCTGGAATAAATTGTGTTAATCTAGCCATCCATAAAAGTAGACTGTTCAGCACTTCATGTTTGATCATGGATGATTGTTACTTAAAGAACCATTAAATATCAGGGAATATTATACGGTGGTTTCGTTTTAGCTTGGGACTCTTCAGCAATACCCACCCATGACCCCATCAGGGATTGAACCCAAGACCTCACGGTTACGAGACACAGTCCGTTGATCATTCATCGATTTGGGCCAGAATCTATGGCTCGTGAATTCTGTCTGTTTAGTACTACTGAAAAACGTGCAAACGAATATTAATTTCTTTTTGTTTATTCCATTCACCATTTATTTTTCTAGGTCATTTAGGCATTGCTGGTAGACAGTGTAATGCAACATCTAAAGATGCGGTGAATTCATGCTCACGTTTATGCTGTGATCGTGGTTATGATACAATGGAGTTTGAACGTGAACAGAAATGTGAATGCAAATTCTTTTGGTGAGAAAAACCTGCTTTTTTTTCTTAAAAAAACGTTTATGATAACTTGGTTTTTTGGAGTTCGAATGCATATGATGAGAAAATTTTAAATTTAGTGGTACTTTCTTACGATTTCTGCGTAATTAAAAAGGGTTAACCAAAGTTAAAGTTGCATAACAAAATATGGAGTAGATGTGAAGGAAAACAGAAGGATTTTCGCTTTTATTATTCTACCTATGTTTGACTGTAGAACTCAACAAGAAAGGAATAATTTTAATTCTGAATACAATTTTTATGTATGTGAACCTATATACTACTGATTAATTTAGATCAGTAGTTGTGTACCACTCACATAAACTAGGGAGTGCTTGCTAGCTAAACTCAGTTCGCTCGTTTGAGGCTGAGATTATCAGCGGTGTACCAGGTTTGATTCAGTTAGGACAGCCAAATCTAGCAAGCACTACTAGTTGATTTGAGTAGTATACAACAACCCATATCAGTCCGTCAGTATACTTGGTTTCTTGATAACCATTTATGGCATTAAACACATCACATATTTGCATCCAAACAGTTTGGTTTCCAAAGGGAAAAGAGGTGAAATTCCACCTCTTTGAATTGTGTAAGTAGCAAATTTATTAGCTAACTGTGAGTTTGATTTTCGCGCGTTTAACTTCATTAAAAAGTCTAGAAAATAATAATAGTGTCATTTAAAGACATTCCACTTGAAGTGTCATGTCCGAATCTTGAGAGAACTGGAAGACGATGCTCGCTCTATGCAGTAAGTTTACTGTGGTGGAAAAAATCAGTGATATAAGTAAATCGCAAAAATTAAGTTGGAATATTTGCCTCGAAATTCAAATACATGGAATATATACATATGCTGAACAAAGATATATTGCTTTATTAAAGTGTACTTCAGTGATTCATTAGCTCAGCTATTCTTAGTGTTAAGTGAATGTTCCAATTGTTTTCAGCTTTGATCGTATTGCTTTTATTGGTAGTGAGAATGTAGAAACTTAAAGCACTGAGAAAGAAGCTTTCCATTAACCGATTGATAATCTACCGGTTATAAAACGCGAGTTAAACAAATCAGTATTCCCAGTAGATTCTCATCAAACTTTGCAGTTACATAATATTTCTTGACTTGAAGGCGGCCTTCGACTCCGTGGATCGAAAGGTACTATGGCAATGTCTGACTGTAAAGGGAGTGCCAAGAAAGTGCATTGCACTAATCAAGGCACTCTACTCAAACTCACGTAGCAGTGTAAAGGCTTATGGAGAATTGTCATCTGAATTGATAACAACCAGTGGTGTCCGCCAAGGATGTCCACTTTCCCCATTTCTGTTTAACTTCATCATAGATATACTAATCGAGGTATCCTTAACTGAAATTAACGACTTAGGAATCGACTTGTTACCAGGGAATAGTCTTATGGACTTAGAATATGCAGATGACATAGTCCTGTTAGGGGAGGATGCTGACAAAATGCAGAGTCTTCTGAACATCCTGAGCAGCAATCTTCGTATGTTTGGCATGCGACTCGCCCCTGTGAAATGTAAGATGCTGCTACAGGACTGGACTACGTCTACCCCTAGCTTAGTGATAGGGAGTGAAGTGATAGAGCATGTTGACCACTTCACCTATTTGGGAAGTTGTATCAGCACCAACGGACTGATTGGTGACGAAATCTCAGCACGGATCCAAAAAGCTCGGGCTGCTTTCGCTAACTTACACCGTTTCTGGCGTAGACGTGACATCCGGCTGTCAACCAAGGGACGTGTGTACTGCTCAGCAGTTCGCTCCGTCCTTCTCTATGGCTCTGAAACATGGCCAATACGAGTTGAAGACATGAAAATGTGGACTGTTCTGGATCATAGATGTCTACGATCTTTCTCACGTTAGGCGGCATAATAAAGTAAGTAATGTTGACATTAGGCGTAGAGTGTTGGGCAAAGAGGGAAGATCAATCGACGAGGCTATAAAGTTACATAGATTGAGATGGCTAGGTCACGTACTGCGCATGCCTAGCAATCGCCTCCCCAGACGGGCAGGTTGGAAAAGAGTAAGTGGTGGCCAAACAAAAACATGGCATCAATCCATGAAATCCTTGACAATTAAACTGAGTCAGGTAGAGAGATGCAGACTTCCAGGTTGGGGCCCTCAGGACTCTAAGAATCAATGGCTGGAGACAATGGGGGACATGGCTCAAAATCGTTGTCAATGGCTTACGCAGATGTATTCAGTCTCTGTAATCTTTCATATTCCTTTCTACCATTACTCATTCTGTTTCACTCTTATACTTGTCAAAATTCTATTGATTCTCTTCTCTCATCTTGTTGTCTACCTTTGTGTGCTCTTTGGAACGTGGCAACTCGAGCTGCTGCACTTCGGTGCCAAGTTCTATGTTGAATCCAGCCATATTACAATAAAAATGACAGTTTTATTCATGACTAAATATTAACACATTACAGAATTTACCAGTGTCTTTAAACTGCAAAATATCTGCTCTTCCTACAAGATCTTCAAGTAAAGTAGTATTTAGCATTACATTGTGTGACCCTGTGCTGTTCCATCTGAAACAATATCCAAATCTCTGACATAGATCTCCCTCATTTCTGTTGAGGATTTTTCTGCATTACAGCTAACCAAGACTGAGTGCGAGCTCATGTGGCGATCCAGAAGTACAGTCAGATGATTAAAATAATAAGAAATGCATTATACTGGGTGGAAATTAAGGTAGCCAGTGATTTAAGCAAACCGCCAGAACTGTCATTGGTATTTCAAACAATTTGGACTAATAGGATTAACTGAAATTAAAGTTTAGGGATTGAAATATGCAACCGTAGCATACCACGATATTGATAATGAAGTTGGAAGCACAAATAAAAGAAATACTTACTCAAGTATTGGTTTGCAGGGATTTGATTGATTGGTTTCACGATTTCATTATGAGCTGACATCAGTTAGCGAACCATTGAAAAACTTGGGAGTACTGGACAGCTATTTCGTCCTCGTTTGAAAGTGTTCATCAGTACGCACCCACACTGAGGGGCTCGAGCCCAGAACCTTCTGGTTACAAGGTGAGCTAGCCCGTAGACCATTAAGCCATCGGGATCCAATCCAATGGTCCATGAATTCCAACTTCTACCATTTCACGACATGGCACGAACGCAAACCAACGTCTTCGGCGAGTATTTATCCTCATACCCAACCTGCTGCACCCTACCGGTCCCGACTTTCCATTAGAACTCCAGATAACTACCAACCTGAATATGGCCAGTCGCCAGTGAGCATCGCATTGATATTCAAGTATTGGGTGTATACTGATGAAGAGTCCCAAACCAGGACGAAACAGCTGTCCAGCACTCCTAGGTTTTCTAATGGTTCTGTAACCGATGTCAGCTCATGATGAAATCCTGTGACTAAAATATTTACTGTTATCCAGTGGCATTGGGAGAGATAATTATTTTAGGTTGAGGTTGACTGCCATTAAAGGGAGAGAGACTCAAAAGACTGTTTGTGAAGATAAAGATCAGGTTGAAAAATTCGCATGGTAACTGCCTTATCTATGCTACAAGTTGTCCTTTGTGGACAACTGATTGTACGAAATATGAAACGAGTTTGTTAACCTTTGTACAAGACCAGAAAAAATAATTTTTGTAACACTCAAATATTCCGAAGTAAAATGGAAAAGAATAGTGATGATAACAAGAAGCCTTAGTCTCTATTTTTAAGGCTAACATTTACATTTATAACTGTTATTTTGTATTGCATTCTAACCCTTCGATTATTGACTATCTGTCAAGTCATCATGACAAAAAAGGGTATTCTTTCTGAATTAATGAGACAGTAGAATAACAAAAATTTTTCCTCCCGGATTACAATAGCAACAATAATAATAATAGTAATAATAATTTCTGCTGTCAATCCATTTTGTCACTTCGATTTAACACATAACTGAGTGAATGAATAGGTGAATTAAAACTGTTCAAATTTTAACAAAAAGAAATATTTCAAGCATTGTGCAATATGGTAGGTAATAAGGTATGTTGGGTTTTATCATTTTCCACGACCTTCGATATTCTTTCAAAGCTAATTTCATTAAATATGCCAATGATCTAACCATTTCTGTCCCAGTAATTTCTGTTTTGGATTGTTCTTATACATGAATCGATTCTTATCTGAAGTTAACAAATAGTCTCACTTAAATGGTCCTAAGGTGCGTCGGTGGCATAGCGGTTAGGACGCTCGCCGACCATGCACATGGTCCGAGGTTCGATCCCCGGCCGACGCACTCCTTTACCTCGCTAAGCCAGAAATAATGCTGGTGGAGAGGAAAGGTTGGGCATGAGGCTAGAAACCCCATCCTGTAAAATAAACACTGCCACAGAAACTTCAAGCCAATAGCTTGAATCCCTGTGTTCCACATGGGAACGTGAAGGAAAAGGAAAATGGTCCTAAATTGAATCCACCTAAATGTCATATTGTTCATTTTAGTTTCAGACTATTTCTCTAATCCTGGTGGCACTGTGATAGTGAGTAAATCGAATTACTCTCATCTCTTTCCGAATCTGTGTCGGTCGCCTCATATCCTGTTGATTTCTAGGAAAATGTTCCGCTTAACTTATTACATAAAGAAGTTGAAACTTTTTGCTTGCATAACTCAATCTCACGTCTTCCTTTACAATTTACCAATTCACTTATTGCTCCCATTGCCCTTTACTTTTCAACCTACTTAATCTCTACTGAACTTCTCAAAAAAGACTACATCATACGATGTAGAATATTGAAGGATGTAAGTAGAGGTTAGTGGTGTGGCTGTGACTCCGCTAACAAACGCAACTGTAGAAAGGCACTTCAATTCTCGCAAGCATTTAGCTAAAGTTATCTTGTCTGATACTGAACATCCTCTCAAATTTCTCCTTGAATCTCTTCGGGTAAAACCAGAAGAAACTTCGTAAGGATTTACGCTTGTACAGTTACTAAATATAAAAATTCTACCATTCCATAGTTAGCTCGGGTTT